GTTAGGATAGATATATAGTTGCATTCTCTTAATGAATACAATGATTTGTTCTAATGGTGTTTGTAAATAGGATCTCAAGTCTGCATCTTGTACAGCAATTAGCCACTAGGAAGAATGTATGCAGTGTGTTATTTGTTGAAACTGTACTTCCGATTTGATTTGAAACTGTCTCACTGCTATGTGTTTATCAATAAAATTTTGAAAAAAAATGAAAAAGAAACTAAATATAAGCTACCACCTAAAAAATAAAAAAATTAAAAAAATAAAATGGAAAGAAAAATAAAATATAAAGAATGGAAATTATATAGTGCACATTTTAAACTTCTTTTGATTTCAAAATCAATATGGCCTCATTGTAAAATGTTTGAGAGACTCTTAAGAGCATCAAAAAAAGGTTTAAAGTATCATTATTGAATAGGTTATAGCATATATTTTTGAAAACACAAGTTTTAACAATCTTACTATATGGCTATATCAAGTATATGTTGCCCAATTCCTATCTTTGGACAGCTTTCAAGTTTTACCTATGTTCCCAAACACAATTGCTACTTGCGAGGTTCCTATTTGCCAAAACACTGCAGGGTACTGGAATTGTACCAGTAAATAAATAGGCCCTTCCCTAAGGAAAACACTCAGAGTTCTGAGAGCAGATGATGAGCAGAGGGGATCCTACCCAACACTCAGCAGGGCAGAAAGAGAAGGTTACATGTAAACTGTGACCAAAGTTTGAGTGCAGACGACAGAGATGAGTACTGCAGGCAGAAGAAAAATAAACCCAGGGAAACCACAAGAGAAGAGGGAACAAGGGCACTTAAAGAATTCCGAAAGACTCTGTAGCTCGACCAGAAAGAGCAAAGGTGAGCAAAAGAAGACCCAGAATAGAACAAAGGGCCTTATAAACAGGATACTGCAATAACTGAGTGACACATGAGTCACCTTAGGTGTATACTTGACTGTAATCCTGAGGGCCATGGTGGTACATGTCTGTAATTCCAGACTGAGGAGGCTGAGGCAGGAGGATCACTGTGAGTTCAAGGCCAGCCTACACTACATATTGAGACCTTGTCTCAAAAAAACTAAAATGGAAAAAAAAAAAAAAACCCCACACACACACCTATAATTCCTTGGGTATTAATTTAGGATGAGGACTGATTTTAAAGTGTAAACATTCTAAAATCTATTTAAAAATAAATAACAAATAATAGTTCAAACAGTTTGTGGATATAGGAAAAAGATGTAAAAAATAAATGAGTCATGGTAAGAATTTTAGACTTCATAAAAAGGGCTTGAGAAATCACTGAAGAATTTTTAATATGGGATTTATATCTGAGAATGTCCATAAAAATGCCCTTAGCCCCAGTGTGGGAAAAAAAGACCAATGAAGGAGAAAGGGGGTAAAAAAGTAAATCAGTTAGAAAAAGGCTGGCAAAAGTCTACCTGAGAAATGATAATGGGTGGCAAAGGCCATGGTGATTGGGTTGGAAGAAAGAACAATCAAAGTATAGTAAGAGGACAAGATTAACAAAGAACAATAATATGCAACAAGGTAAACAAAATCATCCCAAAGTTAATTTTATATATATTCATAATTATTTTCCCAAGATGTGTTACCCCAAAATGGAATCACCAAGTCATTAGGCACCTTTTCTGCTGCCACAGTACTTGACACGCTAAGATTTCTGAACATTACACCTTTACTGCGGGTTGTGACCTTCATTAAAATACACCAAGGCTCATTTAGAATTCTCAGTCCGACATCCCCCGTTCTACAGACCACATTTGTTTTTCTTTTCCTCTTCTCCAATAGTTTAGAAACTTATTTCTAATTGTATTGCTCTAGCTTCTTTCCTGCTAAACTGATCACACATTGCTGATCTTTGGCCATCAGGATAACTGTTCTGTTCTGGCAATAAATCTACCATAGTTGGTCACTTCACTACTTGGCTCAGTCTGTTCTGTTCTACAATGCAAATATTTAAAAATCTCAAAACAACTCACACCCCACACTCTAAGAAACTAGAAATACCACAATGAAACAGTTTACAAAATTTTTTTCCAATTTTTTCAAATTACACCTACTTTTTCTACTATTATATTTATTTGTTAAAGTCAAATAGAAATCTCATTAAACTCTGTAATTATTGGAATCTTAAAGAATTGTCGATTTCTACCAAAAACGGAGAAAAATCATATCAAAGTTCCCTCATACTCCTTTCAGTAAGGGCTGTGTTCCCACTTTTGCCCTTTCATGGTTCCAATAATTAATATTTCTGAAACCTCCAACACTAACCCCTTTCCTTCAAACATTTAATTAAGTTTTATTCACCTGACAACATAAGCACAATTCATAGTAAGTGTCACAGTACAATTTAATTTGGAGTGCTCACCTGTAAAGTTGAATATGTATATGGATAATGATAAGCAAAGTAGCAAACATCATCCTTATGTGGAAAGTTGACCGTGAAAGTAATTGTATAATAAGACTTTCCCTTTTGTCCACCTGCAGCAACTGAACTTCTTGAGAAGTGATTTCTGCAATTAAAAACATAAAATTTGTGTACTTCCTCTACTGCCATGCCATTGGCAAAACACAAATGTGAAATAATTTTATAATTATTTAA